CATAATTTTCTTAGTTCTCCCTTGCTGCAAAGGAGTTGCCACTGCAATGCCACTGTTCTCTTTCGCATCCTTTTCTCAAAAAGAACTTGCTAGTGAGGTAGGTCAACATGAGTATATCCGTTTGTCCCTTTTTTGTTTCTTAGTTTAAATGTACTTTTGTTATGGCTTACTAGATTCTTGGCTGTTAAGGATGAGACTCATTTTTGGTTCATTCTGAATCTTACCTTACAGTGTGGGGATAGGAGGTGGGATGTCCGAGTACTATCATAGCATAAATAATAATTATGTTGTCCAGTAAGTTTCTGCAGTGTTTCTGCAGAAGAAGAGCTTATGTCACCTCTTCACTAGGTAGCTGAGTTGTGTGCTGGAGTACTAACAGAAATAGTTGATGTTAATTTTAATTTTCCTTTAAGAAAGCATAGCCATTGGAGGAATACTACTAATAATGAAACTTTAAAAAAACTGGTAATAATATTTTTTTACAAGCAGCAGCACAATATTTAGACTGCTCCATGTGTTTTTTTCAAAAGAAGTATTGATTTCAAAACAAATCTTGCTATTCTTGTATATCTTTACATCTTTAATGATCTTATTTACTTTTTATTGTGTATTTTGCATTTTGATTTTGCATATCTCTTCATTTTACTATCTGATACACCTTTCAGAGTACAATGTTGCAATTCTTGGAATTATCTAAACTTCAGTGAAAAAATGTTCTTTAAGTCCTATCTTTCTACTTGGTGCCTATTTTTTAAATGGCTGTGCAGTAGCAGAGTGTTCTGCTGGCGTGAAAGGTTTGATAGCAATTCAGAAACAGTAACAGACTGAAATAGCCCAAAGTGAGAACAGAGTTTTAAGGTCACTATAAAGCTGCAAAGCTAGGGCAGAAGGAGAACTGTGAGGAATTTCCAATTTGATAATTCCTCTGAAAGTGTTGTCCCTAAAAATAAGGGTTCTTCACCCAGTGTGCAAAAGCTAATGAACACACTGAGTTGAGATATTTGTTTTTATTTCAGTGCTGCAGAATAGAGTGCTAGGCATCTAACGCAGCCAGCACACCTGTTAGGAAACACATAGGGTCTTTTATACAAAAAGGTAATGAAGAAAAATCACATTAAAATAGCTGATTAGTCACTTGTAATTACATAGCAAACTCATTTGCACATGTCCTAATTTCTGTTTGGCTCATTATACTGAGGTGGTCTTACACATACATAGAAAATCTCCTCCTAGAGGTGTGATTCTTAGTCCTAAAATTATGTAAGATAACTAAAGGTTATACCTTCATCCCATCAGCAACCACTAGGTCACTGCTCAACTTTCTGTTCTGTTGGGGCCTCGCCTGGGGGGCTAACTTCAAGATAGGATTAGTTATGGTTATAGGCTTTTTGGTTTAGGGACTTTCTGTTCCCATTGCTATGGTTTCAGAGCAGGCCATCATGGTTGCCCAGTTTTGGGGATTTTTAACTCTCTTTGACAACAAAAGGATTTTTAAAAAGATGGAGGATTGGAGGTGATTTTGTTTTTTTTTTTTATCATGTGTCTAAATAAACTGAAATCATGGTAGGTAAAGGGCATGTTTTATGTAGCCCAGCAAGCATGACTGTGCTGCAAGCATGATCCTATAAGGCTGTTCTAGACACAGGGCACACAATATGACCAGATCTGTGTATTCTTATATGCTAAACCATTATAACAAAAAGGAACAGCATCCACTTCAGAGCTGGTCATGGTGCACCACAGTCATCTGACTGTGGTGACCTGGAAAGAAACTGTAGGAACAAGAGGAATAGCAGCACTGCAGCAGGGCAGAGAGAGATGCTGGGAAATGGTGATAATCTGTGAATTCCCTTCCAGTAAATCTCCCCTTGGCTGTGAGTAGGAGGACTTCATTTAAAACTAGAAATACTGACAGCTGCTTTTATATAGGAGAGCATCTTTTTTTTGCAAAGAACACCTTTTCATGTAATTTTCACTTTGCTTTTGAGTACAGAGCACCAATGAGATGGTGCACAATGAGATGGTACTTAAGAGTAATCAGAAGTGTGGTACAAACTTTTAGAATTGGACATGATATGTCTGCTGTCATTGCTGCAAAACCCTGCCTGAACATGTTGTTACTTAATTTGCTCTAGAAAAAGCTGAAGGAGCAGTTAAAAAATTCCTAATATTGGTTTTCCTTGCACAACGGTGCTCACGTGGCCCATCCTTGGTAAAATGGCCTGAACAACAACAGCTATTAAGATAGGAATGTGAGTTCAAATATCTAAAACTGTCTGAGAGTGCAATGTGCTACTACTGATCATATTAAAGGGGTTGACAACCACCAGCCAGATTAAACAGTAACCGGGGAGTTACAGAATGAGTTTTGAAGGAAGGAGGTACCTATTTGGAAAGAAATTTAAGGAGTAAATGAAACTTTGTTACAATAGGGAGAACAGTGGGAACAGACCAAGCAGTCAAAACCCGAGGAGTTGAGTTTGGCCCTGTTGTATGTTCACCCACTGGCATGAAAACCTGTATCTGGTCCAGGCAGAGCATCCTCCCTGTCTGACTCTGCCAGCAGCCTGCATCCAGCTGGGGCAGTGACAGTGCAGGGCACAACAGGTAGGGACTCACAACTGGGTGTGCATATGTGACCTTGTGTGGTGCTTCCTCCCTTGTGTGTGCATTAGTAGGTTGTGAAGTGCAGCACAGTACCTACATCTCCTGCAGAAGGTATGTGTGAGAGCGGGGCTGTGTGCGTAACCATGGGTGGTTGGATGCACAACTTCGGGGGATTAATGAAGAAAGGTTGTTTAGAAATTTGTTATGTGTTTATTAGTGTTTTGTCTATTAACTGTGTAGTATCTGTGGTATTGCCAATACTGAACCTTGAATATATATTGCACTGATTGCCAGTTAATTATATGTGATTAATAAATCATTAAACCAGTTTGATTGTGATTCAGACTAAACTAAGTGAACTGTGCAGTTTTCCCTGTCACACCATTAAGTTGTAATTGTAGATATTACATGATCTGTAGTGTCATTATGAGTTAGGGAAGATGTCTGCCAGTGGGAAGAGAGACAACTGTTGACAATGAAAAGATAATATCACTATTAATATAGTGGGATAGGGCCCTTTTGTGAAGATTTTTGGGCAAAACACTGACTGGTTCTAGAATTCTGTGGGCTCTAATGATATCATTAAATCAAGTGTGACAGCAAGCATGCTGTTAGAACATGCTGAAATTATACTGGTCAGAGATGCTATTCAAGCAGTGACTAATTAAGCTCCTGTTACTAATCATCACTAGCTTCCTACTGGAATATACTGACTTCCTCAGATCTGTCTTCCTAACACAAAATGGCTCACAAACACTCTTCTCAAAATGATTCAGGTTTGAACAATCACTCTGAATTTTGATGTTAAACCAACACATTGAGTAGGGAATGAATCAATTCCTGAGTAACTTGGCCTGACCTGATAATTGACTCTACTTTGTGCAGGAGTTCCGTACAAGATCACTTCCTGAGGTCCCTTCCAACCTGAACTTTCCTATAATCCTATATCTTGACGTGCAGTATTGCTAGTATAGGGAATATGTGGTGATATTTTGCCTGCCCGTCTGCAGCAATATTTGAGTGCAGTCACACCAGTTCTCAAGCAATAGCTCTGCTTCCGTAGGTAAAATCCAACTGCTTTTCTTTGGATACATAACTACGTGTTTATGCCTTTCTTATTGATAGGAGGTAAGGGTACCTTAGAGATGACTTCTCCCTGCCTTAGAGGTCCTGAGGCATGGTTTGCCTGTGCACTCTGGTTAGAGGCTGAAGATGACTAAGTCAGTCAGACATGCTTAGAGACCTTAGTTTATAATCAATTGATAGCCCACAGAAGAGGTGAGGAATGGAAAAAAGTCTAAGTTCCTGATTTTATTTCCATCTGGTTAGAATGTTTAATCAATTAGTTGAGAAGATCACAAACACAAGACTGAAAAGGACCGAGTCTGGTCCCTTGCTTTGTGATCGAAGACAGATTGGTTCTTTGTATAGGCCTACATTATGCTTCAAAGCCTCACTACTGAGGCAAGACTCTCTTGGTACAGTTAGAGCACTGCTGTCTGCAGTAGTATACGGTTCTCTACCAGAGAAAGAAAGGGAATTAAAGATTTGGGCAGTGAAGTACTGTGAGGAGCTGTTTCTTTGAATTCAATTTGGGGGGGCGGGGGATGTGCAAAAAAAAAAAAATCTTTTTACTGATCAGGTATGCACCAGTAACTGCAAAATGGATGCAGACTGATCCTCTCAGGGTCACGGAGCAGTGAAAGTTCATTCTGCACATAGGAGTTGCTTGACAAGAGAAAGGGGGAGAGAAAGAAAGAGATATTAGACTGCCTGGAGTAGTTTTTCTAGGTGAAATAGCTGAATGTCAGTTTTCACTAAGACCATTCCTTAGAAGTGGTAATTGAAAACACAGCCCAGGTTAAAAAAAATAAATTAAAAATCCAGCTGCATTTTGAGAAGAAAAAAGTTTTAACTGCTTTGGAATTCAGGTTTGATTTGAGATCTGTTTTCTAAACCCACTATTTTTTTATCCTGTATCAGTAGGCTAAGCCAGTGATTTTAAGGGTTTGTTATGTGGTCTTATCTTGAATGATATGTATATAGTAGAGAAGTTCATTTTGAACTAAGCATATAAGACGTAAGGGATCCCAAAATAATTTATTTGTACAACTTCTTTTTGGATACCAAAAGAAATAAGATTATCTGAGTTTGGAAGGGATTAATATGAAAAAAAAAAAAATGAGGTATGATGTAAAAACAAGCAGACCGCAAGGAAGGACTGTGTCAACCCTAATTGCCAGACGTTTATTTATTTAATCATTTGGCAAAGTTTGGAGAGGGAAAAAACAAAAAGGAAAAAAAAAAAACCAAAACAAAGAAACACTTGTGTGTTGCAAGAGGATTAGGGGAAGTGACTGCTGAAATCAGAGCATAAATGCTTTGCAAGGTCAGTCCCTGGAGCAGTTGGTGAGTAAAATAGGAGTGGAAATAACACAAAGGAAGCAAAAAAAGTAGGCTACAATACTCAATGTGTTTGCCGAGTTGCTGAATCTCTAGGATGTCGTTCGTGGGCTATACAACTCTGCTCTTATGTTGGATGTATTGTACTGCAGAAAGAGGTAAGCTTCAATGTAGAAAAAACCAAAACCCCTTCCTTAAAGTGTACTTGAAGATGGTAAATAAAACAATATGTAAATAAACTGTTTGCATTGTAGCCTATTTTAATAAACTTCCGACAACAATAATCGAGATTTCTTCTGGCAATATTTAGCACCTTTAGTATCTAGTATGCTGTCATATTTATTTGCTTATTTATTTGGATAACTACTGCTGTTATTAATCTGTTCCACAACATTTTTAATGTTTACTATACCTATAATACCTATAAAGTTATTAATCTGTTCCCACAACATTTTTAATGTTTAGTATACCTATAAACTACAGCCAGACAGCTCATTTGTTATTAACTATGTTTGTTAATTTTTCTAACATCTAAAACCTGTAAACAGCTGGTAGATTAAAATACAAAATATTCAGTAAATATGCATTTATTTCTGTCTGGAATAATCTGTGAGGTAATCTGAGAAAGAGGAATGAAAAGTTTACACAATGTCTGTTGACTGACAGAGGTTTTAATCCATTAAATGGATACAGGTGTGCTTTTGTACATGTTTAAAGAGATAGCTACTATTCTGGGTATCTTTTCAGAAGCCTCTGATATTTTCTGCTCTCTGTTCAATTTTTCATGATACTGTGTTTATATTGTTTTATGTATATTTAGTAATTTAATTCTTTTGGTTTCTGTCAGGGTTTCTTTACATAAACTGTTGCAGAAAGAGTGCTGTGTTTTTGGGCTAGTGTGTCTTTGCTTGGTCATGTATTTTTTAATTTTACGTGAAGATTATTAATACCTTATTAATCAAAACCATCTGATGGATTTTACTTTGAAAAACTGAAAAATCAGGACATTAATGGAATTTATTATCTTTTTTATACATACTTACAATAAATACTGCTCCAAAGCAACTAAGAAAGTCTAATTTTTTGCAAACAAGTCCAGAAAAGTCCTGGAATTTGAAAAGAAAGTTAGCCTGAATATGCACTTCATTTTCACAATGCTTTCTTTAGATCAGAGAGATTGCCAAGGAATGTGAATGTAGCAATATTTGATTTATCTGGGACAACTAATACCATGGGTCATGCAGGATTCTTAGTTCAAGCTTCATATTGTAAGTCCATGTGAGTTCAAGAGCTGGGGTTTTGCACAAGGACTGAAAAATACTTCTAATTGAATTTGTAGTTTGTGCTTGACTCTGTGGAAGTTGCTATCAGCATAATCATGGCAAGAAAGTGGCTTGAGCTATTTCTAACTGAGGTCAAGTGACATATGAATACTCAATGATTAATTCTAGCTCTCCTCGTCTCTCAAAAAAAAAGATTTGAAGGTACACATTTAGTGCATGCTTACTAATATAAAAATAAAACCCTCCCAATTTTGGTGAGTACACATGATAACTGCATGATATAATTAATATAGTTTTCAAGTATACCTCCTGTCTGCTCTCTGCTGAGTTCTTCTTCTGAAGCTACTAAGAAACTCCATTTAAAAAAAAAATTAGCTGTAGTCAGAAATACATATACATTCTGTGATGCTTGATGGTAACGCATAGTTTGACATCAGGGCAACAGTGGTAAAGAACAGAGGGTTGAAATAACATGCAGAAAGAAGCAGGTCTTAGTAATGATGAAGAGATTATCAGGAGATTATTTTTTGTGCATTTTTTCTTTTTTTTTACTTTTTTTAAATGTAAACCAGGATTTAAGAGACCTCAGTCTGCACAACAGACAATAAAAATACAATACAATTCAGAAGTAAGGGAGGAATAGAGGAGAAAACCCCTCCCTGAACTAAATACCCTATTTAATACGTAGTACGTAATTACGTAGAATTAGAAAAAATTATTTTCTCAACATTACAAATAACTTTGTGATGTAAACTAACATTTGTAAGACAGAACTAGCTACCAGAGTTGCGTTTGACTTGCTTATTCCTGGATTTTGCAAAACGTTATTAAAAAGTGAATGTGTCTTAATCTTGCTAAGGAGTCCCTACTACCCTTTTCGAAAGTAGGATGGTACCCTCTAGTGGACAGAAGCAATAATTTTTACTCGGATGTTATTCGTAGGTGGGAGCATATTTATTAAAGTAGTTGGAAAAAATTTGAGCGTGTGGGCATACTCTTCCTTTAGCACCTCAGCAGTATCATCAAAGCTTGCCTACTTCTGGCTACATTTGTTTCTTTATATTTTGAAATTGTCATAGCTACAGAACACTTAAATGATACACCTTTTTTTTTTTTTTTTCTTGTAACAAATCTTTTTCACTGACTGAAATTAAAACTGAATTTTCAAGGGTACTTAATCTCTGGTTGTGATTTCCGCAGTTCAGTTCAGCAAGCCATAGCTCCACATCCCTCGCATGAGGAAAGACACTCAGTACTTTTCCTGTAGTCCCACTTTCAGGCAGCACCTGGACAATCCACAAGAAAGCTTCCAGTGGGAGTAATGCTGCCTTCTCAAACCTGTGGCCTTATAAAAAAACAGTGAGAGGACTTTTGTGCCAGCTCTCTACTGAATAATGAATCTACTCACCAAGAAATTTCCTTCCCTGGTGGACGTTTCTTCTCCCATTTATTTTCTATGCAGAAGTTTCATTTCTTTTCCAAGGCTTCATTTCTCAGAGCTTGTTTTATTTATTCTTGATGAATTCTCACCTTACATCTTCAGATGTAAACAGAGTTCTTGGCATCTAATTAGCTAGACTGTCCAGATTCTGTTACTCTTTAAAATCAGTACATTTCAGTCACCCAAGCACACAGAATTATTCACTGTAATTAGGTCTATTATTATAAAGAGCAACAACGAAATGTTTCTTCACAAAGATAATTTAGTCTTTCATTAACATCTCCCATGGTTTTTCTTTCCCCTTTACTCTGATTTTTCTCATTCTCAAGCTGTTGAGGATCTTCTTAATAAAATTGATTCAGGCTCATTTCTTCTATCTCATACGGGCTTGGTTGTACATTTCATGGATGCTGAACATGGCCCAGGAAGGAGCTTTTTGGGAAATGACTGTATAATACCGAGCTAATGAGAAATACCGGACAACACCATCCACCCCCAAATTGAGTCAAAATGTTTTGAAACTCACAAAGGTCAAAGTAAATTCTCAGAATTAATTCCATTTTGTAATAAGTAACTTATCATAAGAAGTAATCTCATGGTCAGGAGGAAATAAGTTTTGGAATATCCAATGATCTCTGCCTGGCGAGAAATTTTACACAATGTAAAGATGAGGGAAGATTTGACAGAATGTGATCAAATGACACATAAACTTAATGTCAGTAAGGGTGGTGGTGGCTGCAGAAGAAAATAGCTTGAAAAGAAACTCTACAGAGGGCACAGAGTTGTTCTCCATGGTAATGGAAGGACAGGCATAGGGGAGTTCCTGCAGATGGAATAATAAGAGATGCCTTTGGTTAGAACCAGGGCGCTAATCTCATCTAAATTTTTGTAGCTAGAATCTATTTAATGAATTATGACCGTACCATGTGGTTTCTTGGTACTTGCTTGACCTTATGTCCTTCTAAATGTCTGTTCGTATTCCCACAAAATGTGGATTCTTGGCAGTTTCCTATTTTGAGATGATTAAGTAGAAAACATATGCTAGTTTGATTACAAATGTCCCCAGGACTTCTTGATATATTTTCTACTGTAAAATTATTTTGCCGTTTCTAGCATGTGCTTAAGTCACCAATATTTTAATTTACAATTTTTAGCTTGTGAAGAACCTCCTCCTAGGAGGGTTAAAGAAGTGCCTACTGGAACATGGGACCAACCTCCCTATCCAGGCAATACTCAAGTAACATACAAATGCCGGCCTGGATATATTAAACTTGGAAGAATCGTGTTTAAGTGCACTGACGGAGCATGGAAGCAACAGCTCCCGTTGACAGAATGCAAAAGTAAGTATTTATGCAAAAATATGTGCAAACATTTGACCCAATAGATCATATTCCTTGCCAGTGGTGTCAATGTGAAATTGCCATTTTATCTTTACCTGTAACTTACTTATTTCAGCATCCTTTAAAATAACATCCTAAAAAGTATGTATGCATAAAGAAATATTCCAGCAAGTTCCTTTTCTCCATTTCAAAGGATTATCTTTTTTTTTTTTTTTCTTTACAGGAGAAGATCTTGCTCTAGGCCATTATTAACCTGATTAATGTTAAGTTAGTAAGTTAAGTTAGTAAGTTATTAGGAGCTTGCTTCCAAAATTTTATAAAAGGTCTAATGTGGCTGAGATTTACAATGTAATCAGAATAAAGCACTAACCCAGTTGCTGTCTTCTCAGTATATTCAGCTAGTTCTGTGGAAGATACAACTTTTGGAAGTTGGAAATCCTCTTTCCCTGCCTCCTATTTTAATCCATGAAAAAAAAATCATGATTAGGATGAGAGCTGCTATTTATCATCTCTAGTGTACTGTGCTAAGAGTTTAGAAGTATCTCACACACGCAGAATTCATTAATGAAGAAATTGAAGGTTATGGTTGTTAGGAGATTTTTCTTTCTGTAATAAATGAGTTTTAAACACAAAGAAATTTTAGACACACAAGATTTTTTTCTTACATGCCTAAAATTTTTACTAGTAGCATGTAAATGCTTGGTTTGATAATATAAAATTAGTCCCAGGTGTCGTTCAGACATGAATACAAATCGTCAGTAAAAATTAATTCATAAAGTTGTCACTAGTTTCTTTTGCATTTTTTTAGTCACCTTCTCAGTTTTTATATGTATTTGTATAACTTTTCGGTGAACACAGATCTTTCAAATTATACAAAATTTGGTGTTGCTTTTTTGTAACATATTTTAGTAAATGCTGCCACCAAGTGAATGACACTAGCAAGGTACAGAGGGAAGGAGAAAATGGATGATCCACCACAGGTTAAGTGATCATGTTCCCTTCCTAGGAATTAGACAGCAAAACTGGTCATTAGGTTGTCCATTTTCTCTGAATCACACTGGAGCAGGTTTAGGGTCACTCAAACACCTCTTCCTTGGAGAAAACAAGGATATTGATATACTCCAAGAAAAGAAATTGGCTAGGTTGACAGGGACCAGAAAAGATTACTTCTGAGCAGGCCTAATAGGTTTTAGCTATGCAGTTTATTTTGCAGTCCATATTCTAACATCAAAAAGTGAATAAATGAGAGGGATGGTATGTTCATCATAGCATTTCTTTTGGAAATCGAGGGGAAATAGTTAGGGCCAGACCACAAGAAAAGTCCAATGCAGAACTTTGAGCAGAGAGGATTGAGAACCAAAAGACCTCTGTGGCCTTAGATCATCCCTCTTTACTCAGTACAATCCCCATTAGATTGAGGAAATTTCATTTCCAATCATAGATGGGTTCTGTAGTGGAAGTTTAGAACCAATTTATGTCACAAGTTGTATGAAAAGCTGAAGTTACATCCTGCCATTAAATTTGTCATAAAACTTAAAATGAGCTCAGCCTTTTTAAAGGAATAAAACCTGCTAATTTTCTTTTTTGTTTGTTGTTTGGTGGTTGGTTGTTTTTTTTAACAATCAGCAGATTCTTACTCCAATATGTTCTCATTAAAGATAGTGATTATAAAGGGGGAAGTTAATCAAGCTAATGCTGAGCATTTTTTAATTTTTGAAAAGCCCATACTTGCTACTTATTACTGGTGAAGTGCTATCTTTCATACTTTCTCATTCCTATATATGGTACAAGTAGATTTTTCTTCTTTTTTTTTTTTTTTTTTTTTTTTTTAACCAGGTAAGCCCTGTGGACATCCTGGAGATACTGAGTTTGGTTTCTTTGAACTTACCAGTGGAAGTGAATTTGTATTTGGTGCCAGAGTTGAGTACAGATGTAATGAAGGGTAACACTTAATTCAATATATAGGAGTTAACATAAGGTGTTAATGTTAAAGGGTCAGTTACAGATTTTATGTCTTAATGCAGCTGCAACTTACTGATATTTAATGCTTGGTTATTGTTTAATTTAAATGTCTGCGATTACTGTAATACTAGTGATAAGTCTTTTTTATGTCTGGTGCAATTGGAGTAACTGAACTCATGTGCCTGAAGCTGTCATCCAAAGCGTCTAAAATGCATAAGGCCGTAGCTAGCTTGAAATCATGGCTGTCCGAGTAGAAAACAAAAATAGTGAGTAAAGCTGTCTTATGACTCCACTAGCCAGCCAGTTCAGATGGTGATGCAGATGCATATGCTGGAATCAGTGCTCTCAGGAGGCAGTCATGATGCAATTATGTTAGCTAAGTCATTAGGCCATGCAACAGAGTCTCCTATTCAGAACCACAACTTATCATTCCTGCTTAAATAATTTTTGTGCATTATGAAGTAAAATGTATTGCAAAAAATGTTCAACAGAAGACATTTCTGGTAGACTCACTAACATGTCTTCACTGACTGCTTGGAAGAAATACTCTCTTCCTCCTCTATTCGTTTTCACTGAATTTCACTGAATTTTTAGAGTTGGAAGGGACCATAGAGATCATCTAGTCCAACTCCCCTGCTAAAGCAGGATTGCCTAGAGCACATCACTCAGGACTGCATCCAGGTGGGTCTTGAAAATCTCCAGAGAAGGGGACTCCACAACCTCCCTGGGCAGCCTGTTCCAGGGCTCTGTCACCCTCACCGTTTCTTCCTCATATTCAAGTGGAACCCTTTATATTCCAACTTGTGCCCATTGCCCCTCGTCCTCTCACTGGCAACTACTGAAAAGAGTCTGGTTCCCTCCTCCCTCAGCTCGCCCTTGAGATACTTGTAGGCATTAATAAGGTCTCCCCTCAGCCTTCTCTTCTCCAGACTAAAGAGTCCCAGCTCTTTCAGCCTCTCCTCATAAGGGAGATGCTCCAGTCCTTGAATCATCTTTGTAGCCCTACGCTGGACTCTTTTCAGTAGTTCCCTGTCCCTCTTGAACTGGGGAGCCCAGAACTGGACACAGTATTCCAGTTGTGGCCTCATCAGTGCAGAGTAGAGGGGCAGAATGACCTCCCTTGACCAATTATTTTCTCCAATAAAAACTGCTGCAAGGCAAATATGTAGTACTGTGCTTAGTTAAGTATGCCTATGACTGGATTCTTTCCTCTTGAAAGGCAAATCAGCTATAAGTAAGGTATAGAGGTTTAGCCATGTTTTTGCAGTCTTTGTATTGCTGGAGTCTAGTCTGAGTTCTAAAAAAGAGTTCCAAAATCAGTATTCTCCTTACTCCCTGAAGTTCAGACTGTTCTTCACTGTCATTTCAAACTAGCTGTGCTTCCTCTGACTACATTTGAGACAAAGCAGAAGCCATGGCATTGTGGCCATGTTGCTTTCAAACCTAAGATAATACTAGCTCATCAAAGCAGGAGGTGCATGTGGTTTGGAATAAGTCCTATTTTGATGCTGCCACATGGCTTTCAGTCATACTGGAGCACAGGCAACTGGAGTTTTACTCTGCTTTCTACTGATTGTGTAAATTACTCCTAGGTTATTTGTTATGTAACCAAAGCTCTCTGCAATGAAGAAGACATCTTACTGATTACTTCCTACTTTCTGGTTTTTAATTTTTTCTTGCCATATGCAATTAAACAAAATGGGGAAGAGACAGAACAAAAACCTACTAGGTTTTTCCACGTTCGGTTAGTCTGTGATAGAACATATGATACCTACTTCCTTTGCTTCAAAAACAGAAACACTGCTGGTTTTGTCACATGAGACTGTATTTAAGCATTGTTTACTTTTTTATTTGGTAAGATACCGGATGCTCAGCCAAAGAAATTACCGTGAGTGTCAGGCAGATGGATGGAGCAATGACATCCCTCACTGTGAAGGTAAATGGATTTTGACATTTAATTCTTTATCAAACTGTCTTTTTATCTGTCTGATACTATCTAGAAATAGTCTGTGATCTCTCTACTAGTATTAATTCACACGTTTAAATTCAAGTTACGCAGCAGTGAAACTCTTCAATGACTACTCAGCCATTTTAGTCCAATAAGCACTCAAGCTTTTCTTAAAAAGCATTCTCAAAACAGAGTCTTGTCACCCACAGATGGTCACAAAACTGCCACCTAAAGGCCGTGATAGAGTAGATGTCTGCAAAATGTGGTTACAAAAACAGCTGGGGTGAGGCATTTGGGCTGTATGTGAAAGCATGTGTGGTTTTAGGTAGTTTTCTCCTCCGCCCTTGTGAATATCCTAGCCATTAAGATTTTGTTGTAGCTGGACTACAAGCTTCCTACTATGTCAGTCTGTCTTTTTGCTTAGGGTTATGTATTGTATTTGGTATAAATGGTATCTGAATACATAACAAGAGTGCATATATTTAAAATGCATTATTAAATTACTTAGTTTTCTGCATTTTAGATTTTTGTATGTCAATTTATTTTACAGAATAGATTTCAAAATGGCTCTTTTTCCCCTCCCCTTCCCTCCCCTCCCATTCCCTTCCTTTCCTTTGTTTTGCAGTGGCAAAGTGTTCACCCATACAAGCACCAGAAAATGGAAGAATGATTATGCCTGGTGCATTTGAACTAGGCCGAGAATATTCCTTTGGCCAGCTTGTAAATTTTGAATGTAATGAAAACTACAAACTTGTTGGATCTAAAGAATTAATTTGCTCTTCTGATGGAAAATGGAATGCTGATGTGCCTCAGTGCCAAGGTAAAAAGAACACTAGATATTATCTGTAATTAAGAAGCTTTATTCTCACAGAAGGTCCCTCAAAGCAGTCAGCTAGGGCAAATTGCTCAAGACCATGTCCAGTTAGCTTTTGAACATTTCCAGAGATGTAGGCTCCACAGCCTCTCTGGGTAACCCATTCCAGTGTTTGGCCACTCTTAAGAAAAAATATTTTCATATATTTAAGTGGTATTTCCTGTATTTCAATTTGTGCCCATTGCTGCTCATCTTGTCACTGGATGCCAACAGCAAGGGTTTGGCTCCCTCATCTTTACTTCTGCTGCCCACCACAGTAAGGAATTTATACATATGCATATTAATAAGATCTTCCCTCCCCCCAAGCCTTCTTTTCTCCAGACTTTCCAAGCCTCTCTTTATCTGTCAGTTTTTCCAGTTCCTTAATTATCTTCATGTCCCTTCATTGGACAGTATGTCCATGTCTTTTCTGTACTGGAAAGCTCAGCAGGACTCCCGATGTGACCAGTGCTGAGTAGAAAGGAAGGATCACTTCTTTTGACCTGCCGGCAGCACTCTTCCCAGTGGAGCCCAGGCCTCTGTTTTCTTTGTTTGCTGCGAAGGCTCATTGCTGGCCCCTGTTCAACTTGTCCATCAGGACTGCCAAGATTTTTTTTCTGCAAAACTACTTTTCAGACAGTTGACCACACCCTGCCCCAGCAAGGAGCTGGAGATGCTGAGGTTCTTTCATAGATAGTGAAGCATTCTAGTGTCAGTTTTCCACATAGTTTAATTCTCTTTTCCTGTTGATGCCATGACTTTAATCGTCTACTAGGTATGAGAGAGCTTCAGATTTGCTGGAAATTACAAGGAAATGAAAATAGCTGAAAAATGGAAAATCCTGAATTTCAGCTCCCCTAGTTGCTTATTTTAGAATGTCCTTTGCCTTATATATTGATTCTGAGATTCATTAAAATCCAAAGCAAAGCCCTGAAATCTGTCTTATGAACCAATTTGCTATTGATGCTGTGCCACATCACACTTTCTACCTGGCACTCACAATCAGGTCATTGAAGAGTTCTCAATTAAGTTTCAGACAGTTTCCAAATGCAAATGTTTTTGTGGAGTCAAATGAAAAACCCCTAAATTTTATTTCGATAGTAATTTATTCTCATCAAATAAAATATATGGATTTTCTTTCTCAATTTCAGAGATTATGTGTACTGTGCCAAATATTCTGCATGGATATGTACGTTCTCCAAAGGCATCTTACAAGGAATCTGAACTGCTACAGTTTGCCTGTGATGAAGGATACAGATACGGTGAAAGACCAGATGTACGATGTACTGAATCAGGATGGAATCCAACCCCCTATTGCACTGGTTAGTCTTCCCTAAAGTTATTTTGGGAATCTGTTGTGTTAGGAAGTAACTTCAGGGATTGGTAATGACAGAAAGTTTATTCATAACAAAAGAAATCCGTCCACATCTGATGAATATCCCAGGAAGGGGATATTGTGGAAGGATTACATGTTAAAGGGACCGAACAACTGGGCAAGAGTTTTCCATGGAGACCAGTAGCAAAAGCAGTTAATTTAGTCTTTTCAGAGTGTAGTTTAATAGGTCCACAAAGCAACAATTGCTACAGTATACTGCATAAATGAGATTGATGCTAAAATACCTTAGGCAGCATTAGTAGCTGTTGTTGTTTTATTATTTTTTTTTATGCAATTCTGAATTAGTGGGGAGAACATATGAAGAAGATTCCTTGGGTTAGAAAAAATCCTAATTTGGAAAAATAGGAAGGCTAAAGCTGAATCTCTTTACCGTCTACAAAATACAATAAAAATGCTTTATCTAAGGAATAGAATACTCAGATAAATCACAATAAAAAGAATATTTAAGCAAGCAGAAAACAAAAGTATTAATACCAGAGAAATTCAAACTACAGAAGGAATCTGAAATTTTTAATGACACGGGAAAATAAACAATTTAAACCAATTTCTTAGAGAATTTGTATGGGTTTTGAAGTCCTATTGTCTTCACATCAAGTCTCGATATCTTTTTAAGTGTGTTTACCATGAACATAACTGGTACAAGTCAGTGGTGTGCTGGATGTTGAAAGACTGGGTAAAGAAATATATCTTTGATAACATATGAATTGCAGCAGCGTGAATAAATTTGGGGGAAGCTAATAGTCTTAGCCTGGTGACCTACTTATGAATCACAAGCAGTTCTTTGAGGGGGAGATACAAGTTAATGCATCTTCAGGTCTTCCGTGTTCAGTGGTTGAGATGCTGTGTCACCGTAGCCAAGACTCTGCTACTTGTAATCATAGGACTAAGCACTCAGTAAAATACCACTCAGCATCTCATCCTGTATGAGCATTTGAGACAATGGAAGTTTGCTTGACCTACTTTACTGACCTCTGCATTTTATTTGAGTATCCTCATGAGTCTTATAATAGTTTGAGCAGACTGAGCACCTGGTTGCTAGTCATTACATCCATTCTTGAGATTTCCAGACTACTAGTTCTGATCAACCGTTCTAACCAAAGAGGAACAATTGAAAAAATGATCCCTATTTCACTGACAGAACTTAGTAAGAAATCATTGGTGTACTGTGCGACCTTTCAGAAGTGACTGGAAATTACAAAAGTATCTTTCAAAATATCTTTCAAATTAAGTAAGGTAGTGTTGTACAATCTGTACAACAGATGAAGTAGTCTAATTTCAGAATTGTAAATAGTCCATTGAAGATTAAGTAGTCCAATTTCAGAAGTATAAAGAGTCCGTTGGTGGCCATATGTGTCTAAACTGAAAATCACAATGGAATTGCAGTGCTGGATTTTACATAAAGCTGAAAAAATTAGTACTTTCTACCATTATGCCAAGAATTGTGTACAACCTAGATTTGAAGTTCACTAATCCTAATAACCATGGACATAAATTGATGTATAAACAGAGACCAATGTGAAGGTACCTTCACCTTTGAGAAATTGTCAGATGCTTGAAACTGGAAATAGAACAACATTGCAGGCTTTTATGTACCACCCACCTTCCTAGGACCTCTTCCAGAAAGGCTCCTTTAGAAAAAAAAAGAGTAGACAGTCTTAGTGCCCACTCAGTTCCTGACCTTTCTGCTTCAAGATTAGTAATGATGCTAATTAATATGCATTGTCTATGGTTTAGCAACATACTACTTTTGAGAAGTACCAAACATAACATTCTTTCAGACGCTGATATGCTGGGCTCTGATACTCGGGATATATTCAAACAGTGGTTCTGCAATTTGACTTACCACTGAACCTAGATGATTCAGCAGTACATGCATACAGCTGATTTGTCCACCTTCACTCCATAGCAGGACCAGTTTGTAGTTACCTTATAGTCATCCCCTCCCAACCCTGAATGTCCTGGTGATATTTTCTAGATTGGAAGTAAGATACAAAGAACCCCAGAAGACAGGCTCTGATTTATAAATAACGTTTGCCTGGCTTCTCTGAGCATAAAGATATCACAAGCTTTTTAGATTAGCATTCTTGTCCTTTCTCAGTTGTTGAAATTATTCCAGTGTCAGTACAAGATCCTAATCTTAATCCCACAGCCTTTGAATAATCAGTTCCCAGTGAAGTATAGCTATTTCTCCATTTCGGACCTGCCAGTGAACCAGTCTTCCTTTGGGACAGTGTCCATAAATCAGCCCAGGAGACCTGTGAATGAGGCAGCATAGATAAATTTGAGCTCCAGCTGTGGAGTGACCTACTGGAGAAAATTAGTCAAATTCAGTTTGATCACCACTGGCACTTGCTCCAACAATTCTCTTTGCAATTAAGTTTTAATCTTCTAATTAGCATGACATCAGTAATAGCTGTCACTCTTATCTTACAGAATCATACATTTCTAAGAATGGGAGAGAAATGTAACCTTGTCTTTGCCCTAAGAAACATAATTTTAATAATTTTATGCAGCTATGGTCAATATATTATGAAAATAAGAATTTATGCAATGAATTTAAACATATTCTTCAAATTAGCATCCAGTTTTTCTCTTATTATTTAGAAATTGTGTGCTTTCCTCCAAGAGTTAACAATGGGAACTTTATACCTCAAGAAGACAAATACAGAGAAGGTGATACAATCACAGTACAGTGTAATCCTGGATATCGTTTTAAAACATTGACTGGCAAAACCACAGCTGAATGCACCAAGTATGGCTGGGTGCCTGATCCAGGTTGTGTCCGTAAGTAGCTCCCATGAATGAAGGTGCAACATGTAGAGTTGTTGAAAATATCTCAGTGAAAAAGAGGTCAAGAGAAAAACTTAAGCAGCATGAGAAATTAGAGTTGCTTATTCATTGTGTTTCTTTATGATGTAAAGCTTAATTTGATGGTTTAGAAAAATCATCTATAAAAACAATGGTATAATCTACATTTACATTATGTTTATAAACACAGGTATTATCTAATATTATATTTGTGAAAGTATGTGTTAAAAAGTGTTATAGTCAGCTCCCTGTCAGGAAGATTTGTGGGCCACCTGAGGAGTGGAATGACAGTCAAAATAAGAGGATAGTGAGTGTTAAAGTATCCAAACCAAAACATAAGTAATGGTTGGAAGGTATCTTTTGTCATAATTATCACAGCTTTAGATTTTTACTTGCAGTTGTATGTAGATATATTACGGACAATCGGTTTTATTCTACCTATTATAACCTGGTCTGTCCAGTGGGTGGTCTCCCCTGCCCCAGCATGTAGGCTCTCTGGGTCAGAGCACTTAAGGAGGAATCTACCTGCCACGGCCAGGTAGGGCATCCTGGGCTAACTTGAATGAAAGTTTTTGGGAATCTCCTCCTTCTACCCTTGAGTTGGCCCTGAAAAGGATCAGTTCTTTTGAGGAACTGAGAGAACAAAAGGAAAATACCATAGTTTTAGAATAAAAATGAGAGGAGCTAGAAAGAGCTTTTGGTGCAGAATCCCAAAAGTTACAAATGAAAATGGTACAGGAGTCATCTCAATTTTAGGAGTTGTTCAGTGTCTATATCTGAGCTAGCTGTCTGGGCTCCCACTATGGTCAGTGTAGTAAATTTAGTAAAGACACTCTACAAAAATAGTGTCATCCCACTCTAGAATAAATACTTAGATTTGCTCACATAAATCAGCCTTCGGAGTCCACTAAGAATATGGACTAGATTTCTGTTTGTTGCAGTGGAAACAGAAGGAACCAACATAGATATAGTAATAACAAAAACATCAGAAGCAGAGTGTGATTGTTCCTGCCCTCCTTAGGATCTGCCAAGGTGTACAGTCCTGATTCTGTCAGTTTCAGAAAACACTCAGATGATGAAGCTGAATCTGAATTAATTGTGTCCTGATCTTTTTGTCATGCATGTGTTGATATTGTTACCATTATGTTCTATTTCAAGAGAAACCATGTGACTACCCAGTTATAGAAAATGGCAGGTTAAGTGGAGCACTGGAGTATGGAAAAGAACGTTACTTTCCAATGAGTCTTGGGCAGTATGCTACTTACAGGTGCAATCCTGGTTATTCAACCCCGAGTGGAGACCCCTGGCTTGACATAACCTGTTCTAAAACAGGCTGGTCGCCACAGCCAAAATGCCTCAGTAAGTACGTTTCCACTATATGCTTAATTCTGTTACCATTATCAAAAGTCTATGCAGCAGAAATTGTGCTGATGGAGCACAAGACGGAACAAAGAACAGTTTGTTAAAGTAGAACTGCTTTAGTTTACCACTGGACCTGCACCCAGGCTGTCATCCTATCTACAGAGCTCAAACTGTCTGCTGGTAAGTGAGACTCTAAATGAGTAAAGCTGAAATGGTGCGTTTGGATTTCAGAGATTCTTTACTCCTGAAACTATCCATGAGATTAAGATCCATTGCCTGGTCCCTTTGGATAACATTTGGAGCTGAGAAGGTAGCACGCTCTTGCAATAAGCTGAAAGCGAGCATGGTATCAGCAAGAGATCCAGATACATTGACTTAATGATTGAACTATAGAAAATAGATTTAAAGTAGCAAGCTGCAGCCTTCTCTCCTAATGCACATCTTCAGTCACAGAAAAGTTTCTACCTACTTGGTAGGAAAGGAACTTGGAGGGCTTGGAGGTGGATCTTTCCCTGTTGCCCTGAGTGGAGTTTTCCCCGGAGGAAAAGACCAGTTACTCAAGTAATGCAGCTATAGCATTTCATCAGCCATCTTCCTTGTGTCTGGGTTCTTAGGGGCACAGGACTCTGTACAGCCAGAATGCTTAGCTGTTGCAAAAATCCCTAGAGCTGGTTTGAGAGGCTGATACATTTGCACAAAAGGGATAAAATCTCCTGGAGGCAAATGCTGAAAATCACTCGGGGCAAATATCAACATTTTGGAGACATAGCAGACCAAACCAGAGCTGGTATACATGATGCTAGATGCACTGAAGTTAGCTAGCTTTGCTTATGAGTGCAAGGTATGCAATATTGTTTACTAGACTACTTCGTGGCACTTTATGTAGTGACTTGCACTCCTGTTCATGTGGTTCATTGATTTTTAGGGCAGTGAAACAAAACATGCTTTCATTCAGGTTTGAACACAAATGTCTTTTTGGGATAGAAGACTACAGAAATGTGCTAGGAGACCCTTTTTTGGTAACTGTCTTCCTAAGAATTAATTTACCTTAGTTCTTTCTGTACAAATTACTGTGGTTAAATGCATTTACCTTCCTTCTTTAGAAATATGCTATGTTGAACATCCGGAAAATGGTTATTTCTTACTTAAACAAGATCTTTATATAGAAGGCGAAAAACTTAAATATAGATGCATGGATGACTTTCATACTGAACAGGAAGATGAAGAAGTCACATGCACAAAGGATGGCTGGTCACCTACTCCAACATGTGTCCGTAATAGTGAGTGTGCTTGCATTTTTTTGAGGTTTCTAGATAAAACCAGTAAATTCATTGTCATATCACCTACATTAATACTCTGCTTAGTAACTCTAAGTCTAGGGGCTCTACAACTGAAACATAATGCTGTGATTCTTTCAGCTGGCACATGCAGCTCTCATGGCCTTGAATGCTGCTGAGGTCAGTCACTATACAAATGTGCAGAATGCAACCCTTTAAATTGTCCACACATGGCTCATTCAGATCTCCTAGAATGTAAGTTCTGGGATAGGAGTCATGGTCTCTTTGTCTTCCCTAGTGAAATCTTGTTAAAATATAGCTGTGCAGTAATATAATAAATAGTAGTCATTTCCCTTGCACAGCCTATCTGTAATTTCTTGTCTCATTTCAGTCTCTCACTATACCACCTGATCCCTGTTTCTCTTGCCAGTTGGCATCATACTAGAAGGGAGGAACAATAAGAAGGTTACCTCTCTTAAATGTGTTTCCAGCTTTTGTTATTGACTTGCACCAAGCCTGAAATTGCTAGAATGTCTCACAGGAACTTTAAATACTTTAGATAATGATTTCATATGGACAAAAGAAATAATTCAACCTGACTTTTCATGGACTGTAAAAATTGGTTTTTAGGAAACAATTCCACCGTGATAGAGATGCCGACCATAGAATGTTTTGGACTGCCACCTACTGAGATTTTGAAGTAGCAATTAGCAAGCAAAATAAAATTTTTGTAATTCCTACTGTTAGGCAGTCATGGCATCTTAATACAAAAAAAATTGATGTGAAATTTAAGCTTTTGAAGCTGTTGCACTAAAGTATCATTAACTCTGCTCACAACATTCAAATACATTCTCAAATACATCCAATGTTCATCAAAGTTTTTTTTTTCATATTTTTTATTTACTTGACTCTCTGATGCGCAAATATTAATATTTGTTTTAATTCCTTAAAATGAAGAAAGTCCTTCTCAGAATAATCTATTAGTAAAAAATTTAATGTACAACGAAAGTTTTCTTTCAGAATATAAGACCATAACATCCAACCAAGATGACTGATTTCCACCCATATAGACTGGCTTAAACAATGTATTGCAAGTGATGTGAAATGAGTTACAGCATTGGGTCTGTCTGCACTTGTGTTTTAATGCACAAGAAGGGGTCCATTGCTACAAAGTCCTGCAGTATGTGCACTCTGAATGATTTCTCTTTGGTAGAAGAGTGTCCCCTTGCAGCACAGACAGAAAGTCCTCTTTATGCCTGCATAGTGCAGAGCATGCCCAACATGAATTTCATTTCTAGTGAAGACCAGATGACGACATACAGTTTTGGAAGCTGAGTCCATTACTGTTTGTACTGCATGAGTTGGTAACTGTGAACTTTGACTCTTCACTTTCCAGTTGTCCCCCAGAAAGAGAGTTTGATGCAGAAGCAAAATACCATGTGCTCTTAAAAATGTTCTAAATCCTACTGCTTTTTCATTTTTCCTCCTTCAGGGTAACACAAGCACGTAGTTTAGCAGTGTTTAACTTGGAATTTCTGTCTCTCTCTTTCAGAAAAATGCCAAAATATCCGACTTGACAATGGTTTTTTCACCTCGGGAAGGAAAACGTTTCGTTTACAGGAAAAGATCACCTATACATGTTATACTGGCTTTGTAACTCCAGAAGGACAAGAAACAGGAGAGGTGCAGTGTCGAAAGAATGGCTGGACTCCGCCTCCAAAGTGCATCAGTGAGTAGCATAAAGGCTTAGAGCTCCCTATCATTGTCACTGGCACAGACATGATGTCCTATATACTCAAATTTTTGTCATCTAGATTGATAGAGTTTTCTTACTGGGCAGAGGGAGACTTAAATAGAGGACTGATCCTGCAGAGATTAAACTTTCTGGGGCTCCAAGAAATAAAGAGAGAAAACATAAAGGAAGTGAGTAAGCAGGGAAAATATCTGTTGTCTTCTAGGTGAGCTATCTTTTTGGACCTCTGTAGCACGAAGTAGATGGTGATCACTGACCTCTCCAGTGATTCTTACCTGATACAAGGTACAGGTACCCAAATTTCATAAACTCATAGAATGGTTAGAGTTGGAAGGGACCTTAAAGATCATCTAGTTCCAACTCCCCTGCCGTGAGCAGGGACACTTTCCATTAGACTAGGTTGCTCAAAGCCCCATTCAATCTGACCTTGAATACTTCCCTGGATTGGGCATCTGCAGCTTCTCCAGGCAACCCGTTCCAGTGTCTCACCATCCTCACAGTAAAGAATTTCTTCCAAATATCTAATCTAAATCTACCCTCTTTCAGTTTAAAACCATTTCCCTTCATCCTATCACTACATTCCCTGATAATGAGTTATTGTCCATCTTTTCTGTAGATGCCCTTTAAGTACTGGAAGACCACTATAAGGTCTTCCCGGAGCCTCCTCTTCTTCAGGCTGAACAACCCCAACTCTCTCAGTCTGTCTTCATAGGAGAGGTGCTCCAGCTCTCTAATCATCTTTACAGCCCTCCACTGGACTCGCTCCAACAAGTCCATGTTCTTCTTGTGCTGAGGACTCCAAAGCTGAATGCAGTACTCCCAGTGGGGTCTAACTAGAGCAGAGCAGAGGGGTAGAATCACTTTCCTCCACTGGCTGGCCACACTTCTTTTGATGCAGCCCAGGACGCAGTTGGCTCTCTAGGCTGCGAGTACACATTGCCCCCCCTTTAATCCTGACCCATAAACTCTCAGTTGGCTCCTCATCCCCATCCCCAGGCAGGGCTCCATGCATTCCAGCTGGTCATTGACATAGAGGGCAAGTTCACTCCCATTTCTCCTGCCTTGCATATGTCAGGGATGGCTTATGAAGAAATACCTGTGAACCAAGAGATTCTGCCAAGAACTTTATTTAAATGTGACCAAACTAGAGAAAAATGGAATTCATTATTTGGAAACATATTATTACTATGCATAAAAAGCAGTATGCGTATCTCTGCCCTGGTGCTAAAATGTACATTTGTGAAAAACACCAGAGTGCTTTTTCCTGAAAGTGCCTCCATACTGTTGTTGCCTTTCTCCAATTAGTTCCTTCCTCTCCTGAACAGGGATGTAGGACAGTAAAAGAAGAGACTTAATCTTCTGGTATTATGATACTGAGGCTCTTAATACTGACCACCTTTAGCTGGTATTTTATCTTGTCCTTTTATTTCAGACTGCCTTTGCCTAGGATTTTGCAGCTTTTTTTCTGACCCCCTCATAAATGACCATGGGGAACAGGAGTAGACACTGTTTGCTATGACACCTCTAATGATAATATGTAGTAGGGGAAGGGAATTGAATCAAAGGAAGAAATATTTATGCTAGATATTACTTCTAGACACATATTTCTGAAGATTAATGCAGTAGATATTATGTGAATATGCTACATGTGATAGTCTACATTCATATTCTGGCAATGCAGAATTTTTAATGTTTCAGATATACTGAGCAGTTCAGTAGACTGGTACACACTAAAGCACCTACAGAAATGATGCTTCCAAAGGGCAGTTTTTTCTGGATCACAAAATATACTAACTTTGTTTCATTCTACAGGATCATGTATAACACATTTGAAGATTTGGAAGATTTCGAAGATTTTGAATTACCATGCAAATAAAGCTATATTCATGCCTGAAGATACAATTGAGTATGCATGTTTGGAGGGATATCAAACTGCAAATAATATGCCAACTGGTACCTCAAGGTGTGGCATAAATGGTGAATGGAGTCCAGCACCCCAGTGTCTTGGTGAATATTGTTGTGTTTGCTAATCAGTGTACCTCTGTATACAATTTGTGAAGCTTTTTTCTTTAAGACTTTCTTTGGTTTTGTTCTAATCAGTAGTATTTCATGTACTTTTTGTAGACTGTACACTACATGTTAAAATATTTTGTCTTTGTAGCAATAGAATGTGACAGGCTGACATTGCCCTATGGACATTTTCATCCCAGGAAAGGTAAATACTGCAATGGAGATGTTGTGAAATTTACCTGTGCAAACAATTACGTAAGAGTGGGACCTGCCTCTACTCAGTGCTATTACTTTGGATGGTTTCCATCAGCACCAGAGTGTAAAGGTAATTCTTCTATTAACTTTATTTTAGTAGAAAATATATGAAAATGCCTGGGCCCTGAGGACTTCTGAGGACAGCTTCTATAAGCCAGTCTTGTTCCCAAGAACAATTATTCCATCTTTGTCTCTAAAAGGGCAGGAACTGGCCCTCTTTGGATCATTTCATAGTGTTTTGCTATTTCAGGTGAAAAAATCTGAACATTTGAACTTTCAATATTGAACTTTCTGTTAGATTTAGTTATGCCAGCTGGAGTCCTGCAATAACTGAAAGTGAGCTGGTAAGTGGCTTGCGCAAAATTTCACTCAGGTTGTTGACTATAATGTATGAAAAATTATTTATTATTCAAAAAGGCATAAATAATGTGCAATATGGAAGCCAGGAGTGATTGAGTAATGTCCCGATTTTTGCCACTACTTAATGTTGATACCCATCAGATATTGTACCCTGTGTTCCTTTTTCTGATCACATGATATTGAAGAAAAAAAACTGGTTTGGAGATGAAACATAGCTGGACCCAAGCAAAAGAGGCTCAGTGAAGAGTTTTCCTGGTGAAATTCTTCAGCTTCATCCAGTAGGATAAGCAAACTCATGCAAAAGGGAAGACCTATGTCCCTGTTCTTCTCATCTTTTTTTAAGACAGAAAACAACTTGATGACATCTGAAAAGCATTTATTTTGCTGGTGCTACGCCCTTTCATGAGGAAGCTTGAGAGGATGAAAGGATCTCATATTTCTCATCTCCCTTTCTTCCCAATCAATCAATTTCATTGCTGTCTTTTATGCTCTCATCCTTCTTTTTGCTCACTCTCTTTTCCATTTTAAAACAAGTATATTTCATACAGTTGGCTCTTTAGCTCAGGAACATTTTAAGCTCCCTTAGCAGGAGTTCCATTAACTCTATCAGAAGTTAATTCCTTTAATATACAGTACATATCGCTTGCTAGGTGATTTTTATAGCATGTGTTATTATTACTTGCAAAATTTTCACCTTTTTTTTTTTTTAAGAATACTGAAGTTGTCATCCATGTAACACTTTTTTTTTTTTTTTTTTTTTTT